TGTGAGAGCTAGTTATTTCTGTGCACATGTCTAGCCAGGCTTCAGTAAGCAGCCTGGACAAGCGAGACTGGTGGTGGGCTTATATCCCACTTTTAAAAACCTCTGCTCTAAACTCCCCTACATGTACCTAACATAAAGCATAAAAAAATCTCATGAACCTTGAAAGCAATTGCTCAGACTTTAGCATGTAACCATCTGCTATACATATCCTTAGCCACATTTCAAGGTGATAATAATTGCTTTGCTATATTTTTAACAGATATTTCAATTTAATAAAACATAAAATACATACACTTAATCACTGAGAGAGAACACCACTGAACTTTTTTCCAACGACTGCAGATAAGCCAGCGATTCACTCTTTTAACCAGCTCTGCTAAGTGATCTGGATCAGATTTCATTATCTGATCAAACTCGGCAAACTAAATAAATAAAAAAAAGTTTTACATATTAGGAGAACAGCAAGTGTTAGACATTATTATTAAGGAACACATTGAGTTAAAAAGGTAAAATATTTTAAATGTAAACTGTATGTCATCATTATATTGGCTTTCAATTAATTCAACTAAGCAAGTATGTCTAGCATCACTTTATTATTTAATTATAACAGAAATTACTACGGGTTTTTTGTTTGACACGCAACATGTCGCATTTTGAATAATCCAACCATTTATTAATCACTAAAAATATTTATTGCCAAAATTTTAAAAAAATAATTGTTTCTCTATATCCTGAACACTCACTCTGGCCTTCTACAACTTCAAGACACCTCTAATTCTGTATCTGGGAAAAAATAAAGCCCTGAAACCACTTCTCAATTTTTAACCTTTGTATAAGAGTCCAGCTAAACGCAACCTTTTCTGAAAATCCTGCACTTCCACTTTTTGGTAATTGTGACAGTAAGAACATTCTTCTGGGACTACGGTTTTCCTTTCTAGTCCCAACAGCTCCTCACTTCATCTCTTTCTCTGTACAGCAGCAGCAATGCTCAGAAACAGAAAGCTATTTCAGCTATAAATAGATTTTACTAAAAAATATTTTTTCTTTGCTCTGACTTGCTCTTTTTAATAATCAACAGAAGTCTTAAGTGACTGTTAGAACATCTGGGAATACAAACATTGCATTAGGAATACAGCAGTATTAGCAACAAGACTATGAAATCAATTGTATCAGTTATTATATTTTTTTTCATAGAAAATGAACATTATTTACAAAAAACCCTGTACAACCTTATTTAAGTCAGCCACATTTTTAGCAATACACTGAATAATGTCACCTTCAGAGGTCCTTTTCAATCAAAATTATTCTAAGATTCACATTCATGAACTCCAAGAGAAACGTTACCTTGCCGGGTCTAAAAAACACCTTGGTTAGCCCAAATTTGTAATCATTTTCATTCAGTCCCAAGGCTTTAAATAGTGCCTGAAACACAGAAAACACTTAGGATTATAATCTTCCTCCTTCAAAAAAAAAAAAAAAAAAAAGTTCAAAAAACACAAAAAACCCTCCCAAAAACCCCACAATACATTTTCTGTCCTTTTCTGTCCTGGATGATACAGAAGAAGAATTAATTTATTTCTTACCTTGCAAAAGAGCCTAGGATCCAGTCGAGCCAACTTTTCAGGCAAGTATTTCTTGTACATATTATACAGTTCATGAAAAGAAGCTCGAGAAGGGAAGCCACCTTGCATCAAATCCAGAACAGACACCATTCCTAGATTCACGGAAACACGTGAACAAAAGTTGGTATGAGTAAAATGCTAATAAAGCAAGTGATTTTTATGATAACTAGTAATTTATGATAACAAGCATCAAAGACACTGTTCAGTCTAAACCACAAAGTTCAGCTGGGACTTGATCCAGCCTCAAACACTTCTTGATCATGTGAGAAACATCATAATGAACAGATGAGAAGAGCACATACAATTTTCTCTCTATTTGAGAAGTAACATCCAATTATGCAGAGGACTTTTTTCCTAATATTTCTTCTAAATATTTTTTTTATTTTTAGCAGACTTGCATTTTTAAAGTGGAAAAAATAAAAACAAAAGCAAAACAAAACGACAAAAATCCCCAATGTCTGGCTAGGCTTTTATTTTCATCATGTCAATGATATTTGTGAGATGTGGTACAGATGCAGCATCAAATACATATGCAGTGCTAGAACATTTAGTGTACTTGTAGTACGAGGTATAAGCTGCTAAGATGTAATTTTAATGTCCTGAATACTGTTACTACATTTTGGCTGCAACTAGGACATCAGTAAAGCACAGACATAAAGTCACTAAAAGCAGCACAGGCCACGCTAGTTTTTGCCCACTGCTTTACATAACCCTATCAACAGATTTTGCATATAAGTTTTTAAGATAGGCTTTAACTTGTAGTTTTTGTCTTTAAACTTAGACTTTTGCATATTTGCTTTCAATGGAAATTGGATTTGTTTACCCTCTCTTTTACAAAAAAGATCTGATAGCATTACATTTTGGTTTTTTAACATTACATATTATAACTTTCTCTTACTAGATTAAGCTTCATTTACTATTGCTAAATGGAAAAGTGAGCTTGTAAGACTACTGTAAAACATCACAATGGACTGAACTGCTGCCCTATTAACACTGGGCAACAAAAAGAGATGGGATTCAGCTGCAGGTCAGGAAATCAAAATTTATGTACCAATATATGGCTACGTGGCTTCTTACATAAGCACCTGGTGTATGAACTCTCATTATAATCAATGGAAAAACAGTCTACGGAAATTACATCAACTCTTCTTGTAAAGAAGAGACCTTATGAATGCTCAGATGAATTATTTCTAGGGTTCTATTGACTAAAACGAGAGCTAAGTTACTAAGAATCTATATTATAACGGTTCATGAGGCATAAAAAAGCTAGAAAGCAACAGTTCAAGCAAGGAAATATTGCTTTCATGTCACATATTCCAAAATTAGAGCAATCTGTAATGCCCAAAGAGAGGGAAAAATATCAGAGGCACACATTACCTGAACACTGAAGCTGAGAGAGTATCTGTCCTCCTTCAAAATGGTGATTTGTCATCTTTAAATTAGGTTTGATACAGCGAATAAAGCTAGACCCCTATTACCAAAACAAGAAGTTAGCAGAATCTACACATTTTTAGACCTCCAGAAACAAGTCATCTAAGAATTATGGGTGGGAAAAAAAGAGATACAAAATAATAGTATTCTAAAAGAGAACTGCTGACTCATATATCAGGTTTGCACTCTGGCCTTAGTCTTGATGTAACTGATAACAATGTTCAAGCTACTAAATGGATCCTCAAGTTTTGAGTTTTCATTCAACTGTTCTTAACACTAGTACAATCTAATTACAATTTAGCATTCTAGATTCTACTACTCTCATAGAATCATAGAACAGTTTGGTTGTAAAAGACGATTACGATCATCTAGACCAAACATAAACCTAGCATTGCCAAGTTCACCACTAAAGTATGTCCCCAAGTACCACATCTACACGTCTTTTAAATACCTCCAGGGATGGTGACTCCACCACTTCCCAGGGCAGTCTGTTCCACTACTTGACAACCCTTTCAGTGAAGAATTTTTTCCTAATATCCCACCTAAACCTCCCCTGGCACAATTATCTTCTCATTTTTTCCTACAGTCACATCACCTAACTGCCTCAGTGCTCCAGGGTTCAAATCAGTGAAGATGCTACCAGCCTCCTGACACCAGAATCATGCCAAATGAACCTGACCTTCCTTTCTTCTAACTTTTACTTTTTACAGTTTCTTTTGGCTCATGGCTTCACTCTCCCTTCCCCCATGTTGTTCCAATCTATTCCTCTTATCACCATTGTATCTCTACAATTTTGACCACTCATTTCTCTGATCATTTGATATTACAGAATCACAGAATGGTAGAGGTTGGAAGGGACCTCAGGAGATTATCTAGTCCAACGCCCCTGTCAGAGCAGGTTCCCTACAGCAGTTTGCACAGAAAAGCATCTAGGTGGGTTTTGAACATCTCCAGAGATGGAGACTCCACAGCCTCCCTGGGCAGCCTGTTCCAGTGCTCCACCACCCTCACAGTAAAGAAGTTTTTCCTTAAGTTTTTATGGAACTTTTGGTGTTCCAGTGTTTGCCCATTGCCCCTTGTCCTGTCACTGTGTACTACTAAAAAGAGCCCAGCCCCATCCATTTTGCCCTCACACTTCAGGTATTTATAGACATTAATAAGATCCACTCTCAGTCTTCTATTCTCCAGGCTGAAGAGTCCCAGATCTCTCAGCCTTTCCTCACACAGGAGATGCTCTAGGCCCCTCATCATCTTTGTGGCCCTCCGCTGGACTCTCTCCAGAAGATCCCTGTCCCTCTTGAACTGAGGAGCCCAGAACTGGACGCAGTATTCCAGATGTGGCCTCAGCAGGGCAGAATAGAGGGGGAGGAGAACCTCCCTCAACCTGCTGGCCATGCTCTTTTTAATGCACCCATATTCATTAATGATGACATTTTGCAAAACACCATCCAGTTATTCAGATGTTCCTGTAACACGTGGCTGCTAATGATAACCTACCTTATATACTAAAACAAAATTGAGACTGAGAAAACATATTACTCCTGGTTTTCAGTGTCTTCTCTCTTTTTTTATCTCAGTTGACAGTGAGAGGGCACCTGCCAAGGAAGCTCTATATTAAGAATACCTCCTCAGTCACAGCTTAGCTAAACTCAAAATACAGCAAGTCTGGCCAGATACGTTTTCCCTGGACTGGGTCTCAGTTCAAGTGTGTGAAAGAGATCACCTCTATTTCCAGTAAAATCTTTATGTTGGCTACACTCCAGTACCTGTCGCATTTGTTTCCCATGTTTTTCCACATTCTTTTTTTTTTTTAAGAAAAGCATAGAGCATAACCTTGTATCTAGAACTGGTTAGACTACACAGTTAAGAGAAACAAGAATGTGTTCCTACAAATACAAGTTCTAAAAAAAAAAATAAATTATATATTGAACTACATGGAGAATTCCACAAACCATCAAATTACATCAGTTGAATTAGCAAATGCTCATTAGGACAATCAGGCTCTTTGACTATCTGTGCATTTACAGCTTATCACAAAAAGGAAATGAAATAATTTAACAGCTTTATGAATTCTGAAAACAGAAATTATTAACAAACTATCATCTGCCTTACTTCTAAGTAATATCTCTACATCTTCTGCAAATTAGTTATCAATGATAACTAGTGAATGGAGGAAAGTAAAAGTGACCAAAAAGGAGACTGCGGCCCAGACACATTTCATATTGTTTACTCAAACTGCGTAACTTTCATTCTACAACACTTTTTTAAAGGTAGCCTGGTTTTTTAAAGTAGTTCAATAATCATGACCTGCACAGCAAGATGTTTCAGAAGTGCCATATAACTGCAAACGCTAAAGCAATTATCACGTTTATTGTAAGCCATATGGTTGTGATAATACTGAGAATTATGTCAGAAAATTATGAACCTGCATCTGTATATATACTTACAGTACTGCGAAGCTTCTCAAGAAGCAAATTTAACTGAGTCTGTAAAAGAAAACAGATTTATCAAGAGTCTCACCATGACATCTACAGAAAGATACACACAGAATAGTGGTATAGCATTACTGCATGCACGTTCACTGTTAGTAAATCAGACAGAATTGATAAATCAAACATTCACAAATTTTAACAGACAAAATCATGCAAGTGTGCATGAATGGTCCTGAGGGAATTGCTTGTGTTTAATTGTATAACAATACTGTATGGACTAGTTACTTACTAGAGCAAGTTACAAGTTATAAAAAAAAAGCGCAAGCTCATTTGGGAAAATAAAGGAAATACTGGCTATGTAATAAAATTACAAAGAAAATGAGACTGATCAGCAATAATTTTAAAAAATACACTGAAAAAATACGGAAGTCCAAATTTAGCCTATAACAAGTATATATTTGTATGTTAAATAATTAACACGGAAAACACGTAAGCTCAGGGTTTTCTTGGTTTTTTTGAAGCTAAATCAAAATTTCGGTGAACAAACTTGCATAATCTGTTTTTAATTCCACACTTCCAAATTTGTAATTCTCTGTCGATGACAACAGACTGGAATTTTAAAATCACATTTACTGAGGCTGGGTTTAAACATACTGTGATGAGAAGAGACAACAATCCTATCATTATTTGGGATCAAGTCTACAGGATCATTACAGACTTAAGGCTATCAGGTAAATCAAGTTACAGTTGCTACTGAATGCAACTGGTAGGGACTTAATATATTCAAAAACTTCATCTGGAAAAAAAGTTCTTTTACTTTACAGATGTCTTTGTTTTACCACATAGATCGATGCCAACCTTTCTAGCTTACTAACAAGCATTAAGTATACATACTGAAGTAAGACAAAATTCTGAATGTACTAACACGTTCCTCATTTTCTGTACTGGAACAAAAATTGAAAGGATATGACTTTTCACTATTTTTTTTCCCCCAGATCTTTCAATTACCTTGAATCCAAAAAATCAGATTTGTATGGACAATACATGTCACCTACAGCTGCCAGTCGTCCTTCCAGTGGATAAAATCGGTTTGAGGTTTTTTTAACTTAATCATGGATATGGTTAGAAAGAGGGGAGTGTCACAAGAGGCATGACAAACACTAATAACCTCCTGCTCAGTTCTCACTTACGTATACTCTTTATACCTACTTGAATATAATCTTTATGTTTTCTTAAGTTAGAAATGCTTAATTTTGGAGGGGACTGCCTAATTTCCATGAACAAAATACATTTCTGCTAGAGGAAAAATACCCCTTCCTTATACTTTGTGATTTGACAAGAAATAAGCCAGAGCCATTGTCAGGTAAATTTCATCAATGAAATGATCATATGAATAAAACATATTGCTAAAACTACTGCTCTTTGAATTATGATGATTTAATCCATCATTATAGTATTAAGGTAAAATTATCCCAAAGATTTTTTTGTAGATCTGATGAACTAATTAATCATTATTTCCTCAACTGGTTTATGTGAATTAATTTTAATTAGTTATAAGGAAGGGATGTGTGAAGGATTTCATAAAGAGAAGTCGCTGCAACATAATTTAATAATTGATGTAATTAGAAGGATTCAAAACTGACTTACGTACTGATGCACTAAAAATTCTTATTGTTAAAGAGATGAAATTTCTACTAAGATAATAGAACTTATTTTGATGTTATCTGATGTGAAATTTTCAAGGCTATTAGTGTTCATCAGCAGCATATGTTGTGTCTGGGAAGGTAATACTAAATGAATTACTGGAAGTAACACATACATTCAAAATGCCATGAAACATAAAAAGTATTATAGATTGATGGGCCAGATCCAAAGAAGACTTTAGTCATTTTCTACACACAGAGGTGAACGCCAAAGTCTAAAAGGCAATCCAAAAAGTTCCCCACTCAATTGCAGCTTAACTTAAAAAATGCCTCTCTCTTTCCTTCAGCCATCCTTGAACAACAGTATCACTCCCATGTCCACATCCACTGGATGTGGGGTGCTAAATCCGAGAGGAATTAAGAACCCAGATGGAAGAGAGTGGAAATTATCTCAAAGATCCCACAGTTGGTTTCATTTTGAAAATACAGTTATAAAAAACAATGGATCCTAGCTTCACCTACAACAGACTCATGGTTGCAGGGCTTGCTCAGGAGACGGTTTATCTGCATGTAATTCCATTTTTCAGTCTGCCTTCTGATCATGCATTTTATATCGAACCAATTGCTACAGTTTAATTCTACAACCACTATATAATAAAAAGGAGGAGGAAATAATAAGAGCAAAACTCAAGAGAGCAGGCTGCCCAATTCCCAGTTAAATACCAAAACCACTACCTTACAAGTCAAGCTCTGCCTCCTACTCTTCCTGGCAATGTCAGATTGACCAATAACTTGGTGCTATAGGAAATGTAAAACACTGAATACAGTACAGACCTGAATCAGAACACTGTTGCTATACAAAAAGCAAGTGCTGCTACCATATCGTTCCTGTCCTTCAGCCCCTGCATTTTTAGAGAATAATTCTAAACACTAGCCACAAGATACGATTACGCAAGAAGGAATTTATCTTGCAGTCCTAATTCAGCTCCTTGACATGCAGCAAAAATGCAGAAACACTCTTCTGCTATTGGCAGTGTCCCATTCTACAAGAAGGCTTTTGGATTGTCCAAGATACCTGCTTTCCCCAGGGACTGTGTAAGGAGTCAAGCTAGGAATGTGTTGTGCAGTTTTAGGTGCCCTAAGTAAGATGGCATACCAAATATGTTGCAGCACTTGACTTGAAGGCGTACAAATCCTTCATTGGATCTGGCCCAGATGCATTGAGAAGAGCTCTTGCTGAAATTGCAGCAGCTCTACCAACAGTAAATCCACGAGATTGAAAAATTTACCTGCAGCCCACGGTTGTGCCTGCTTTTCATCTCTTAATTCCCCTATAGTTCTCTTTCTAGCCATCCTGAGCTGGAATAGTCCAGCTAAAATAAAACTGCTGAATGAGAAAAGGATGCAGAAAACATTTGGAGAAGACAAGGTTTGAAGGTCAGCTTTACAATAAGCAGAAGAAAGGAGAAAATGAGAGGAAGCATCAGATTCGGGTATTGAGAAAGGAAACAGCACAATGAACATCTTTCTGTGATCCAAGACTACCTTTATCTTTTAGAAGAGGAAAAAAAGTGGTTAGGTTAGGTACTGAATTTTGAAAATGGCAAACTGTAGCCAATTGTTACATCTTCTAGAATGCACAATTAAGATAGGATGGAAGAACGTCTTTTGTCACATTTAGAACCCCTTAAAGTCCGCAGAATCCAAATTTAGATCTCAAGACTTTCAGTCTTTTGAATAAAGACTTCCATGTGGCTTTGCAAAATTCTGACTTAAAAATTACTGTATAATCCCTGTAAGGACTATTATGAAACATCTTTTTGACAGAAACTCATAGCAGGTAGCTTGAACATACTGGTCTCCTATAATGCAAGAGAAAAAATGTCGATTTAACAAAATTTTCTTTGTATCAACCTCAAGTTACCACTAGTTCTCCCAACCTTAGGTTCTACTTATTTCAGGTAACTTAAAAGCAGCAAATACTACAAGAAGATTCTTTGCTATATTATGTTACCTTGAATTTGTTTCCTACACTGATGAAACTAAGTTTCCCAGCTTTTTGTTTGGGATCCTTGTTGTTGTTAGTGTTAGATTCAAAGAGCTGTCGAACAAACTTGTCCTTGGATTCACATATAAGAGATTCAAGGGACATGTGCAAAGCATCATTGTTTTTTTCCACAAACTGCATCTGAAAAGACAATCCAAGAAATAATAACACATTTGTTTCACTGCCGCAGTTACTTAAAGTCTTAAAGAAAATTAAAAAAAACAAAGTTATATACTTAATTCAGAAATCAGCAAGAATATGTGGGGTAAATATTAATATATTATTTCAAAAAACTTTTCAACTGGACATACAGAACACTGATGTCAGAGAGAAAAGATATTCTTAGATTTGAAGAATGTTGTTGGAATCATGAAACTCAAGGTAAGTTTTAGTGACTTTTAGGAGATCAGTCGTATTTTTGTCAATTATTATCCTCCTTGTTTCCATTTCCAGCACTCAGCATGACTATGATTCTATGATTCTAAGATGCGAATGCCTGTTGATGCAAGATCTGCAGTAGATCATGAATCAAAATATTTAATATTGTCACCATTACTTACAGATTTATAAGAATCTCTTACAGAAAATATATGTCATCAAAACAGTGTGTAATCTGATAAGTTAAAATAAACTGACTATTCTGTCACATACTCATAAAATTAGTTTCAAGGCTAAGAATATTAAGTTTTAATTTCTCTTCTGATGAAAGGAAATTTTATTATTTAACATGTATACATTGAAAAATATAAAAGTACTACAAAATTTAAGAAAATCAGTTTTGTGTAAGTAAAATTACCGTCTCATAGCATACTGCTCCTGCAAAATGTCGGATAATAAAGCCTTCATCATCTCTGATATTTCTGTGAACAGCCAACTTGGACTTTCTAGGAATCTGGAATTAAAAAGTTGAATTACAAAGAAGAATCGCACTGGACAGTGAGAAAAAGTTTATTCTTAAAATAACACCATGATTCTGCCAGAAGCAATAGATGATAAAAATGACATTTCCTGCAGTACAATTGTGATGACCACTACCATTCCTGTTTAAACCAAGATATTCCAAAAAACTATTTTCCTTCCCATTCACAGCCTTAGATATCTCACATTCAAAATAAAAGTCACCAAGGCCGCTAATACCAGCTAGCTGCTTTTCTTTTTGCCTTTAATCAACAATTTCTATATCATTCAATCCACAGCTGATGAACTGTCTTGTCATATGAAGAGGATTAGATAGAAGCTTAAAATATGTTTTTAGATGGTATATTATAAAAGGCAACCACCTAGTTAAATCATATGCATACTGACAAAAATTTAATTTAATTAAGTGGATGACAGTTTTATTTGGCTCCCTTTGCCTGCATTTCTTCAGCAGGGAACTGTTTTTTTTTTTTAAATCGCACTTCAACAGAAGTCACGCACATAAATTGCAATAATTTGCATTAATCTTCCACAGAGTGCTGTATGTTAAAGAATTAACAAAACCAAAATGGTTTTCCTTTTGTGTTCTCTATTTTCACCTCTGAAGTGTTAGCTAGACACTTCCAGATATTCTCCAAAGCAAGCAATTTTTGAAAGGAATAACAAAATAGCTCATCTGATACGAAACAATCTAAATTAAAATGTGTTTTATATTTCCTTTTCATGCATTACATGAATAAACTTCAAATATAAGTGAAGAATGTGGCTTTAGTTTCAGCAGGATATTAGAACTGCTAGAAGACTTAAGCCTTCAGTGAACTTTTCAACAAACCTAATAACCAAACTTGCCCTTACAAAAGAATATGGATTGTGCAGGCTGGTGTGGAATGAGATTTCCTAGGAAAGGTTTTCATTAAATTTAAGTGTTACTATCAACTTTTCCAATAACTATTTTATTAAAACAAGACAGACAGCAAAAATAAACCTACGGAGAGTCTGAAATGGTCCTTGTGTTTTTGGTGCACAACTGAAGTAAAATGCTGGTCACTTGGTTGGGGAAGACGATTTTCTTCATCCAAAATATCCAGTACACCTATTAATTTTGCTTCAATCAAATCTGTTAATAAAACAAAATATGTTTTTAAAAACTGAATATACAACCTGTATCAGAACTGAACATCACAAGTTTAAAATGCTACTGATGTGATTCTGTATAACTGTGGGGACAGTTGTCAAAACAAAATAAAAAAGTCATTAAAATTAAGTCTACATATCTGCATTGTTGATTAATCAATATCTGATTGTCCTGGTTTTTAGCTGGGATAAATATATACCTATACATACCAAGTATATATACATGTATGTAGTATCTCTCTCTTTTGTAAAAGTTAATATTTCTACACATTCACTGCTGTCACTGGCCTGGTCCAACACCTTAAATCAAATCATATTTCAATAGAAACCAAAGTTATTTTTCTCACTCACTTCAAAAGGCAGTAGAAAATCCTTTCCCCCTGACTATGCAAGAACAGAAAAAAGCCATACATGCTGTGGTTTAACTCAGCTGTAATTTTATTAACTTACCTAAGAATAATTCATACAATGAAAAAATGTGTCAAATCTGTGGGTGGGGTGTCATATGTTGGTTAGAATAGCAGAAAGGGTCATGAATGAGGTACTGCTACTTGTATTCTTAAGTGACCTCCTCAAATCTTTTCTAATGTAGGAAAAGACAACAACTTAGCAGCAACCTCTACAACCTAACCCATTTTCCCACTATGAATCAGATAGATAATTTTTCTTTCCATATGCATCAGGGAACCCTTTTTGATCCTGAGATATGTTTCAAAAACAAAACAAAACAAAACAAAACAAACATGCACTGAGTGGGAAGCAACCGTTTTTATAGAAACATTAGTCTCTTAAACTATAACAACATTTTTGGGAACAGGCTCAGGCTCATATACACACTGTTAAGCACATTATTAAACCACTACAAGAGATAAGATTTGCATTCATAAAAGTCACCTATTTCCTGTTGCTATGCTTTTGTTCCCTCTTCCAAATACCTTCCTGTTGCTTTTTCACAAGATGGCTAAGAGGCTTGCTTGACAAGAGTCTTTAGTCAAGTCAGTTAGTGACTGTACAATCTTATATGACAAAGTGAAAACTACTTCAGCAGAGCTACAGAAACTCAGAAGAACCAGTTCTTTTGCAACACATGTTGAGACTGTCACACAGTACTTTGCTCAGCCAGGACTGACTAGTTACTGTGAGCAAATTACTGTAAATGCAAAAGCAAGATGAACTTTCATTCACAATACACCGATCTGGAAAACACAAGTTGAACGCAGAGAAAGCAGGAATAACATCACATTAAGCCTCTGGTATATGAGTCCATGGAAGCAGCATTAACATCTACAGCCTGTTGCCTATAGTTCATTTTGTTTCCTTGCTCATTGGTTCAAAAGAGGTGGGGAGAATTGGATGGGATTTTTTTAATTCATGGAATATCTTTCCCCTGACATCCTCACACCCTTTTTCACTTTATTTACCCTATTTAGGTATTCTAACTAGTTTTCTAGGAAAATACACAAGAAATTCACAAGTCCCAGCTGCAGTTATTACACATTGTAGGACACTGCTCTATTACCAACTGGAACTAGAATGTTATACAAAACTGGAATAATTCACAATGTTGCAACAGTTCATGAAAAGCACAGAATTACTAGTGCTACACATATTTTGCCTCTTCTGCTTGAAGCTTTTTTTCTCCATGACACTAACAAATAGCTCAACATTTCAAGAAGTACATACCTATACAGTCCTGATTATCCACATAGCGTACTTCATTAACCCCAAGGCCTTCTCTCTGGTAAAGTTCTTGTTCCTCAAAAAAAACAAAACAAAACAAAAAACCAACTAATTCAAAAGAGAAAAAAACATTCATCGTATTTTTTACCCATCAATTTTTTTTTTTTAAATAAACATGAAAACATTCTTAAATATAGTATGAATCAACACACACTTTAGAATTTCCTTCCACAGCTTAATATAGTACACCTTCACCTCCTTAACGATATGCTCATGCAATTAGATATTCCCATTAGATATGAGATATTGTCCAGTATCTGGATGCCTCATTTTAATGAATGGTAAAACAGAAGAAGACAAAAAGACTGTTGGTTTTCAAAAAAGTCATATTCTTTTCTGGCACAACCAGATGTCACAGAGTATGAAAACAGTTTGTCAACTGATTTTTTTTTTTTAATCTAAGCATAATGTGCAATCTTATGGAAAGCAATGCTACTTTAAGTATCTCTACTAAAAAAATAAATCCTCAAATACAACATTAAATATAACATACCTCTTTCAGAATCCTTTCATTAAAAAACTGCTGCAGTTTTTCATTACAGTAGTTAATACAGAATTGTTCAAAACTGTTGTGTTCAAAGTATTCTGAAAAACAGAAGTTAAACTTCTATGACAAACCAGTGTTCCAATAATTTATTTTATATAGTAAATAAGAGAAGCTTCACAGTGCTAATATTTAAAGATGTGTTCAGATCTGTGTCTGTTTCTTTCAGTAAAATAAAAGCTTTTACAGATTTTCAAGTTGCACATCAGACAGATATAAAAGTACTGCAGCAGATCATATTTCTAAGACAAGTAACAGACAGTTATACATGGCAGCAAACCAAACCAAGATGCTTCTACACAGTGAAACCAATACATCCTCATGCATCCATGTTACAATAGGTTGGCACAGGATACCATAAACCATCGTTCTAAAGACCTGAAAACCAAAGGTTCCCTTTTTCACTGTTCTTGGACCACCTTGGCAGGGCTAGAGTAAATCAGAAAGCATGCCCTATTCTGAATCCCAGTGAGGCAAACAGGCAAAACCTTTATGGGAATCATCAATGCCCACCATTTCTGGGGAGCAACCATGAGCCCAAAGTCCACTCTGTACCAGAAGTACCATCTTCCAGGAAGCATACCTTAATTCAGAGACTTCATTTGCCTGTCTGTCAATATGCAGTGATCTTCTCAGGACTGAATGGGAAACCAGCATGCACATGCAGTATCTTTCCTAACTTTACTGACTGGCCACAGTAAGATTCCTATGTTTATGTAGACACTACAGAAATCTGAAACCATTACCAAGATGCCCAGTTTCACACTAACACTTCTTATGTCATCAGGAGAAGCTCTAGATGTCCTCTACATTCTTGTATCTTGGGAAAACAAGGCTTTATCTGCTCTCTTGATATCTTTTTAAGCCCTTGTAACCCATCCCACCCACTGCCACCAGAAGGAAAATCCTCCCACTCTCCATTGCAGAATTTATCACTGAATCTTTGGTGGTAATAATAGACAACTAGAAAATTAATTCATTTTTTTAAGTATACTTACCGAAACCAGCTATATCTAGAACTCCAATGAAGAAAGAAGAAGTCTCAAATGGAAAACACTGGTTTACCCTGTTCACTACATGGTCAAACAGATGACTATACACTGTTTTAGCCAAGGCATCACGAGCATTGTTTGCTTGTTCCACTTTCAGGGGTACCCTAAAAACCAAAAATACAGATCTTATTTTTCAGAATTCCTTACTCTGAAATATTGAGATTGGACCCTAAACTTAAAAAGAGCCTTTCCAATTATTGCAAATCAGGACACAAAAAAACCCCCCTGAACTCTAGGTCCAATTAGGAAACAATCTTGCCAAATTAGACTAACAATCTTACGTGTAAAAACAAAGAATAGTGTTTCACTATCTTCAGCAGAAGCTAGATGCAGATGTTTTCATACTTGCTTATTAGATAATTAGAAACTGTTTTGATAATTGCCAGAGAAAGATATTTAAAACATACACGTTGCCATCTACGAAAAAATTTTTCAACTCTTTATGTATGAGTTGCCCAATTACAATAAAACCAATAGTTCAGTTTTGCTCGGACATCTTAGTCCCTATGCTTTCATAAGGGCTCTAACTAAAACTACAAGGCTGTAAGTTAATCAGTAACAACATTTTAAAAACATAGATAAAGGACTATGTTCTCATGGTGAAAGTTAAATGCAATTCCAAAATAAGGATTCTCTTTAAACACTGTAAGAAGGAGCCTTTAAAAGATGAGAAGTTATTCTCTCTCCTTTATTTATAAAGCTTTATTCTGCAGTGTGACTATTTATTACAAGTTTATATCCCAGTTTAGCAGTTAAAAAGCAAAACAAAACAAAAACACCCCACGAATCACAATTTCAAAGCCTATGAAATGCATGACAAAACTGTGGGAATATCAGGCAAATATCATTACATATTTATCTATACATATATATATACATACAGCTATTTCCTAAAGTCAGTATGACAGTGACATGCTTAGAATGCATATATTTCAGAAAATCACAGAATCATAGAACAGTATAGGTTGGAAGAGACCTTAAAGATCACCCAGTTCAAACTCCCCTGCCATGAGGAGGTTGCCCTTCTGGGCTGCAAGCGCACATTGCCGGCTCATGTTCAGCTCCTCATCCATCACCACTCTCAAGTCCTTCTCTTCAGAGCTGCTCTCGATCCGTTGTCCATCCAGTCTGTATTTATGTTTGTGATTGCCCCGACCCAAGTGCAGGACCTTGCATTTGGTCTTGTTGAACTTCATGAGGCTTGCACAGGCCCACCTCTCAAGCCTGTCAAGGTCCTTCTGGATGGCATCCCGTCCCTCCAGCACGTCAACCGCACCACTCAGCTTGGTATCATCGGCAAACTTGCTGAGGGTGCACTCAATCCCACTGTCCATGTCACCAACAAAGGTGTTAAACAGCGTCAGTTCCAATACTGGCCCTGAGGGACACCACTTATCACCTGTCTCCACTTGGACATCAAGTAGTTATCTGCAACTCTTTGAGTGCGATCATCCAGATAATCCCTTATCCACCGAGTGGTCCATCCGTCTAGTCCATGCCTCTTAGAGACAACAATGTTGAGCGGGACTGCGTCAAATGCCTTGCACAACTCCAAGCAGACGACATCGGTTGCTCTTCCCTCATCCACCAATGCTGTAACCCCATCATAAAAGGCCACCAAATTGGTCAGGCACGATTTGCCCTTGGTGAAGCCATGCTGGTTGTCATCAATCACCTTCTCATTCTCCATGTGCCTTAGCATAGTTTCTAGGAGTATCTGCTCCATGATCTTTCCAGGCACAGAGGTAAGACTGACCGACCTATAGTTCCCTGGATTTTCCTTGTTCCCCTTTTTAAAAATGGGGGTTACATTTCCCCTTTTCCAGTTTGTGGGAATTTCACCAGATTGCCAGGACTTCTCAGATATGGGGGACAGTGCTTTAGCAATGCATCTCATAAGGTCCCAGGGACTTGTGCACCTTAACCTTCCTCCTACAGTGGGCGGGTCTTTATTCTCCCAGTCTGTGTCTCTGCCTTCAGTGACTTGGGGGACGTGGTTCAAGCACTTGTTGGTGAAGACTGAGGCAAAGAACTCGTTGAATACCTCGGCCTTCTCCATATCCTGGGTGACCAGGTCTCTCATTTCCTTCTGAAGGGGGCCTTCATTTTCCCTAATCTTCCTTTTATCCCCAACGTACCTACAAAGTTTTTCTTGTTGGCCTTGATGTCCCTGGCCAGATTTAATTCTGCCAGGGCTTTAGCTTCTCTAATCTGATCCCTGGCTGGTTGGACAATTTCCCTGTATTCCTCCCAGGCTACCTGTCCTTGCTCCCACTCTCTGTAGGCTTCATTTTCATCTTTGGGTTTGTCCAGGAGCTCCGTGTCCATCCATGCAGGCCTCCTGGTGTTTTTGTCTGACTTCCTCCTTGTTGCGATGCATCGCTCCTGGGCTTGAAGAAGACAATCTTTGAATATTAACCAGCTTTCTTGGGCCCTTGTTCCCTCCAGGGCTTCATCCCATGGAATTCTACCCAGCAGGTCCCAGAAGAGGTCAAAGTCTGCTTTCCTGAAGTATGGGGTAGTGAGTCTGCTCTGCACCCTCCTCGCTGCCCTAAGGATCTTGAACTCCACTGTTGCATGGTCACTGCACCCAAGACTGCCCTTGAGCTTCACATTCCCCCCCCAGCCCTTCCTTGCTGGTGAGAACAAGCATAGCACCTCACCTCAAAAATTTCAAAGCACTTTTAACTAACACCTCATTTCCTGGATAAATATATTCTATGAGGCTTTTTATTTTTTTTTTTTTTTAATAGCTTTCAGATTACTAGGTAAGAGTAGGAAAACCAAAATACAGGTACACTGTACACAGCTGAGGAAGCACCTATAGAAGACTACAGAATAAGACAATTCATACAAGGGCAAAGCCTTAAGGAAGTGTTGAAGAAACAACACGAAAGAAGTATGAAAAACAAACTTTTGGTTTTATAGTATGATTGCAAATTGCACTTAGATCCCAATCACGTTGAAAAAGAATTCAAAAGCAAATTCACACTAATATGAACAGAATCAGACCAGAACAGAATCAGACTGTCAAAGATCAAAACTCTCCAAAGGATTTTTACATGTCAATAGAAAAATATAAATAGAAAGAGTAAAAAATTAAATTGAAATACCGGTAAGCCCCTTGGCCAGACAATATCAATATTTCATGCATGGAAAGAAGGGCTACAATTTAGAACGACGGATACGCAAAGACTTTGCACAACACTGTATCATGACATACAGATATATCCAATGTTAAAGTTAATCAAAAGGGAGAGAGCCTTTGATAACCAAACTGGTAAAATGCGCAGAGAGGAATAGGGAGAAGTAATGCCAAGAGTTTTATCACAACAGTTTTCTTTGTCATGAAGAATACAGGACGATGGTTGTATGCCAAAAGCTCTTAATGCTTTTTCTAAATATCTCAATCAGTTGCCTTAATAAAATAAACCACTTCTCCCCATATAACATCCTATATGACTTCTCCTCATATACCTTGCCTCTTATGTCCTTGGACCACCAGCGCTACGATGATTAGTAATAATCAAAAGGTAAGACTTTCCAGCTAAGGTGGTGGATAACCAGTTATGGAACTTCTCAAGTATGCAGCAAATCTATGTTAAAAAATACCTCTCATCTGCACTGTTTAAGTAAGCCCTATGTAGAATGTTCAAGATGTCAGGGCTGCAGAACTGCTCTGCTGCCCCCTCCGGGAAGTTTCCATACGCAGGAGTACAAAGAACTGGCAGGTCAGAGAAGGAAAACTTAACGCTACACAGTTTACCCACATTGCACCATTTCCTTCACTTCCCAGGATTCACAAGCACTACACTAACACATAATTATTATTTCTGTATTTTTTCAAGGATGATACTTCTGATGTAGAAACGTGAGAATGATGGAGATCACTTTCTATTGTGACTGGTAAGTCAGGGAACCAGAGACTCTGTTCACTAAGGACACCGGCAGCTACATTACATTAGGTAGTAATTAGCTTTAACACACAATCTTGACTTCCACTAAGTATCGCCTGACTTATCTTAAGGTAACGAGTACTGACAGAAATCCTATCTTATAAATAGAAGGAAGGTACCTTTACTTTCCATTCTGATATGTTTAAGAGATCAGAATACTAATTCTCACGTGTCAGCTGCAGGCCTATTACATAATACAATACACTAAAATCTTTTATGCTTTCAATTTATTTTTTTAAACATGGCAAACAGTCACACTTCTAGAGCATGAATTTATAAAATGGCCCTGTCCTTCAAAAACAACAAATTCTGCCATTATTAAGTAGAATTCCAGAGACTGCACAAAACCCTACTGTTATTTTAAATTTCTTAGTATGCGGCAGAAACCCATGGAAAGAAAATGTAACCCTGCAATGCATTTTGCACAGCTCAAAGTACAAAACCACAAAATAACGTTGAAATTGCACTGAGACAGTCGATACAGAAGAGCCCAATTATAGAACTGACATTCAGGATGAGTAACTTCCTTCTCGTGAACTTGGCTTTCCCTCAGCTCCTCCTTCACCTCTGGTCTGCACACTGACAAAGTAATCTCTTTCCTCCTCCTGTTTCTTGTCTGAACAGGAAAAGATGTGTTTTCCTTCCTCCATTTCACCTTCTCCCCCTCTCCTCCATCCATCAGCTACTTGTAAGGAACAGGAAAAAAAAAAATCCAATTTCTAAGCTATTTGGTAAAGTTTCAACAAAACTCCTTGTTTGGTCTTCATACTAATTTCTTCTGCAAGGTTTCCAGTGATCCACAGAGTCTGATCTCCAGGGCAAAGCGCTCTCATGGGCTGGATTTATCCTGTGGACATTTCTATGCAGTTCCCAGACATTTTCCAGAATAAATAAACTGCAATTAAAATGGGTATAATGTGTCCATGGCTGACAACAATTAAGGCAGATAGAGCAGGTGAAGCGATACCCATCAGCTACTGTCACCCAATACAGTTGCTGCTTCACAAGTAAAATGGCCTGGATGAAATAATCCTACCTAGTGAATGGCCTACCTAATTAAAGAATATAAGCAGCACATCTGTAATTTGAGAAAAGCTTAAGTTCAAAAAAGGTAGATTTTTTTTAAAAAAACCAACATTTTTCAGAGGCACCCAAAAAAAAAAAAAAAAAAAAAGGTATTTTGGGCATTTTGGTAGAAAATGTACTCGAAAAGAAGCTGGAAGACCTAGAATTATGTAAGTTAAATTTTTCACACTGTAAAATGATTTACTTTGTGATGATGGAGTCGTCTTTGAAACTCTTCTTGGAAAGCAAGAAACTGAGTAAGAGGGTAGTACAGTGCACTTACAGTCTAAGAGGTGTACTGGATTTTGAATGCTAACACATTGTTTCTCCCTGTAAACACACTTTACATGGATGGCAAAAACATCAGCTAACAAGGTGATCTTTACGCTCTTTTGGGGAGACTAGTAAGAATAGACCAATGTAGTGCAGCTGTCAACAATCCCTGGTAGTCCACTGCACATTAGTATTTAATAAAATTCACAGAGGTAGCATTTAGCATCACCCTCCTACTGTTCCTTGTTGGCTCCATTGTGCCCAGCAGAACAAAGCCTTTGTTATACTCTAAGCACAGTGATTTCAGCTGAGCTATTTATTCACTGTGACCTATTAAGACTCACATGATCTACTTGCACACAAAAGGTCCCTAAGAAAGAGAGAGAGAAATAAGTAGCTCTTCGGGTTGCTGGAACAAAATAAAACAATGTACTTGTCAAAACTCTAATATTGATAGCAATCAAATAGTTTCTAAACCACGCTACCACAGAAAGGGCTGGTGGCTATTTAATAAATATCTAAACCAGTCCATTCCACTTTCCCTGTACGTGCAGTAAGCCACATGAGAAGAAGGTATTTGTGTATTTATTAGCCTATGTTTGCTTCTAGCTGTCCAAGTTTAGAAAAGGCTAGAGAAAGAGGCTTAATACATTAATCCTTTGAGATGGTGGAAGGAGTCCTCTGAATTCATTTTTGCCTTCCACAAAATAAAACATTGAGGAAAAATAAGATCTGCTGGCACAAAAACATAGCTTCTTGTGTTTGCAGACTTTTGAAACAATACACTGCTAACAACACCCCTGGCTTATCAGGATAAATACGCTGAACAGAAAATCTTTACAGTCTTAATCCAAAGGGAACTTGAAGCTGTAACAAAAATTCCATTTGTTCTTAAGAAATTTTCCTTGATAGGGTCACTTGAGATGTGGTGAAAGGGAAGCAGTAAATTATGATACACCTTTGCTTTAGTGCTTGATGTATCCCACCGAACATTCTCATATGGGAACTACACAGACATGCTTTATCTGGATGTTATGTGTACAACAGCCAAAACTGATCTGTTCTCAGAGGCTGAGTCAATAGTTCACTGAAAACATTTGTAGTGAGATGCCATCTGAATCTGACATGGATGTGATTTGTTCAAACCTCTTCTGCTTCTAGTTAACACTTTCATTAAATAGGAATGATGAAAGTTAAGGGTGTTTTCAAAAACCAGTCTGATAATACTGAATTAAGAAAGCAGAAAACCTTGGTAACAAGATTAGCATACAAAATTATTTTCACAAACTGAAGACAGGATCTAGAAATCCACAAGAAAGGTTTCAGTAAATTAAAGTGTGTGGTGGTATACTTAAGAGAATTCAAAAATACAAATGCAAGATGGAGAATAACCAAGTAAGCAGTGAGTCAACAGAAAAAGATCAGCAGTTATAGTGGATTATAAACTGAATTAAGTAAAAAATATTACTAGCTTTCAAAACCTGCAATGCTTATACAAGCACCCTCCATACTGTGTAATATATAATTTTCTACTTTAATGTTTTCCATAATGCTGATAAAGGTTCTCCTGAATGATTATATCAAAAGATTTTGTTGTTGATTTAGACATGGTCCGGAAGAGAGTAAAGAAGAAAATTTGGAAAATATTGGCCACTGGAGGCACTTTGTCCTGCAAGACCCATGTCTTTCTACATATAAAGGTTGTTGTAAAGAGAAAAATTAACTTTCTGCATCAGCTGATAAGGCAGCAAGACGATAGTGACTAAAAGTCCCCAATTTCTAATAACTG